CAAGGACACACACTCTCTCTCTCTCTCTTATTTTCTATCACTTCAAATTTGAACTGTAATTAAGGTTTAGAAGCATGGTCTTTGGTTAAAGTTTTCATGATCTTTAAAATTGTCCTACTACAAACTACAGTCCCTTCAAGGCTTCAAACAAATTAAACTTATACGTGTAAGGGACATCACAATGTTATATATAGAGCCACCAAATTAAATTACGGTTTCAATAGTCTTTAAAAGTTGGCCAACGCATGTGGAGGTTCTCATGGTCTGACTTCTAACGTATCTTTGACAAAAACCCGTTTGCACAAGAATAAACTTGATATGTGCATTAATCTAATTCTAATGAACTATATTTTCCTTGTTTTTTATCCGTACGTGTGAATAATTGTGGTCTATCAATAAAAAGTGAGTTATTACTTATTAGGAAATCCATCATTAACACATCATCAAGGAAGTCATGATTAATTACCTGAATTTTCTAGGCCAATTTGTACGCTAAACGAGGACTGCAATTCCACACATGAGGCAGCTCTTAATTAGCTTCACGGTATAATTCTCTGATGTTTTACACATGACTATACATTCTATAAAAAGATAGAATGAATCATAATAATTTCAAGGAAGAAATCGAATGAGAAGCATGAATTTGTAGATGGAAAGAAAGTAACGAAAACATAACTAAAATAGAAATCAAATTTAGAGAAGGAACATGATTATGAAGAGAAAATAAGAGGGAGGTCCATAATATAGTAGTCGAGGCAATCGAAAATATAATTCTCCTACTCTTAAAGAGCCATATAAGAAACGTAAACGACGTGTTATTCTCGTGTTCTTAGAAAAATGAAAGAAAGAAACATAAAATAAGAACGAGATTCTCGTGCTGTTAGAGTTCCGTTATGAGAATTAATAAGAAAGAGACAGCAAGGAGGGTATTTTTCGTGTAATGAAAGAGGCGTTGAGGACAATATACTGTATATTGCGGATATACCGGAAACGTATAATGAAACCAAGATTATGAAACGAGAATACAAAACAGACAGTTAAAGAAAAGAAATGGCTATCCTAAACAGGGATGGATCCATGACACTTTTACTATGGGGGCACATATTCGACAATGCACATCGAGGATAGAGATTTTTAGGGTTTTGTTGGTTTTTTATATTAGTCTGTTATTCCCTCAAATAATTAAAATTACAACTGAGTCCCTCAATTTTTAATTATTCATTAAATTAGTCCCTTCAATCAAGAGTAAAATTAGCCATTAGAGTGATTAATTTGAAACAACTTATGATAATGTGGGAACCTCCTAGCAGTTTTAATGATTTGAGGGACTAATTTTCATATAATTCTTACATCCACACTTGATTTCAGGGACAAGTCTTAAATTAACTTAAAATTGGGGGACTAATAGCAATTCGATGATATGAGGAACTCATTTCAAAAGAACATATGAACTGAGTGATCTTATAGCAATTTTAGTCATTTGAGGGGCTAATGGAAAATTTTAAAGATGTAGGGACTAATACTATGTTTTGTCAAATCACAGGCCTAGTGAACCTGCAGAGAGGTATGGAAATATATAATTTTCCTAGAGTTTGGGCTTGGACTTGGGTCAATTTGGGCCATTTAACGGGGGCACCCACTAAATTTCCTTGGGGGCACATCCAATAGTTTTAAAAAATCATTCATGTCTATCGGAATGTGCATGGGGTACGTGCCCCCAAGTGCCTGCACTGCAAATCCATCCCTGATCCTAAACACGAGGATTTTATGTGATTCAGAGAAACCCCAGCATTCATAAGCAGCAGCAGATAAATCTTTATTAACTAGACTAGATTACATATTACACAGATGAGATCAATTCATTTCCACACACTCACATGTGATCAGTAAATTCCACCTGATTATTGTACTCCCCTCTTCCCAAATCTAATAGAATAACTCTTTGTACAAATACAAAGAAACTCTAAAGAGATAAGTAAACAGATGAGCCAGTGGCATTAAATTAAGTAGTGATTATAAAAGAGCGATCCAAAGATCTAGGGTCTAGAGAGGAAGCTAAATGTCGGGATTTGCGTTTAGAGCTTTAAAAGAAAGATTAGTGATGTTTATAAGTAAGATTAGAACGCTATTCTCCAATTGCTCTCCCTATGTAATTAGGGCGCATGATTTGTCTAAACCTTGCATATATACATCATGTCTGTGTTCTAATTTTTGCTGACATATATATATAATTGTATATTTTCTTTATGATTACTTTATTCTCCATGTTTAATTAGTATCACCATTTAGCATGCATCCAAGTCATAACAACATCCCAAAATCATTTTCCAATGGAGTAAACATCAATGGTAGATTTTTCCCTTTCTTTTTGCTTGATTATTGTTTAATTAATTTCTCATTTCACATTACATATATCATATACGTACTGTGAAATGTCATCCTTAATTGTAATGCATTTATCACCTATTTTCTTTGTAACACCTTTTTCATATTTTTCTATGGTACAATTAAAATAATGTTCAATTTAGTTAATGCTAATTTATTGTTATGACAAAATCCCTACATGGTTCTCGGCTTGTAGTCTATGTCCACAGGCGAATGAGGAGAGTAGCTTTACTAACAATTTGTGAGGAATACAAGCTAGGTGAAAATCTCTCAATCACTCAATCTTTGTTACACCCGAAAAGCCTAATTCAACTCTCTCAAATAAAGGAACAAAAGAGATAAAACATCAAATAGGCTTAACATAAGAAGTCTCTATTCTTGATTGGTGCTCTATAGTTTGATGATGATATTTGTCATGAAACAATGTACATATATAGACTTGAAGATCCCAACTCTTTATTGCCAATGGAATAGAAGTTCTAGAGAGAATTAAGTTCACATCTTCTAAAGCCCAATAAAAGCCCAAACCCATAATGACTTTTATTTTTGCTATAATTAGAGTTCTAATAGGAATTCATTTATGACTTTCCTTATCACCAACCTGCAATTCCTATACACAATAGGTTTGCATTGAAGACAAACTTAATTCCTAATCAAAAGGAATCCTCTCAGCCAAGTCTATCCAATAAAGAAAATTCTTGGCTTAAGTTCATATTTGAGTCACACTAACAAATCTCTACCTTGACTCTAATATATTAAAAATTTCTCACTCCAAATTAGCTAACTTACTCCACCTTCTCCAATAGCTCAACAAGGCATCAAGTGCGGCACATATCGATCATATTGCTTGAACTTGACAACTGAAAGAGGTCTCCTCAATAAATCGATTGAATTGTCCACATGACAGATCGTAACTCTTAGAGAAGTCATCACTTGAAGTAGCTCCTGAATAGCTAATGACACAAAACTGTCAACTGACAGTGATAAACTACCCTATATTCATATCTTTGCAGTGGTCGAGTATCTCATTTAGACCGATCTCTAGCATAGTGTATTTATTCTCTTATTACAGTTGCTGAGATATTTCATCTACTAGAATGCAATCTGGGTGCTGAACTCCTATAATCTTATCATGTTGAAGAGCTGAATTATGAATTTCTAACTTCACCTTCTATCCTGTAGTGCAGGGCCTTATCGTCAACTAAAACAGGTGACTATTTTTGGTGGAACATAGCAGACTCATCAAAAGTGATATCACGACTAATAATAATTTTAGGAGACTTCAGATCATGATACCACAACCCATGGATAACCCAGGAATATGCACTTCTTTACTTGAGACTCTAGTTTCTCTTGCGTAATATGTGCATATATGGGGAAACCAATTTTTCTAAGATTAGAATAATTCGTAGGCCTACTTGACCAAACCTCCTTTAGAGTTTTACATGCAATAGTAGTAGATGACGATCGATTCGCCAAGTAGCAAGTTGTATTTATTGTCTCCGCCGAGTATTCCTTGCCAAAATCTATACTAAACAACATATAATAAGCTTTCTCTAAAAGGATTTTGCCACTCCATTCTGTTGCGGTGTGCGAGGGACTGTGCAATGTCTAACGATCCCCTTCTTCTTACAAAATTCATATTTTCCTTCACAAAACTCAAGGCTATTAACAATTCTTAGCCTCTTAATCAGCCTCCCAGTCTATTCCTCAACCTAAGACTTTTACTTCTTGAAAGTCACAAACACTTCATCTTTATGTCTCAAAAAGTAGAACTAAACCTTCCTAGAGTAATCATCAATGAAGGCCAATAAATATCTTGAACTACCACCCTTTGAAGCAACTTAAGAAGGTCTCCATAGATCTGAATAGATATAATTCGAAGTACCTTTTGTCTAATGAACTGTTGTACCAAAGTTGACTCTTTTTTGCTTTCCAAATATGTAATTCTTGTAAAACCCTAATTTTTATGTGTTCTATCCATATAAAAGACCCACTTTGCTCAACTTGGCTAATCCACACTCACTCATGTGACCAAGCCTCATATGCTATAATCTAGTAGTATCTGCTCCTGGCATCGATGATGTAACTATAGCCGAACTAATATGGTAGAACCCTACAAAACATACAAGCTGACTATCTTCTTTCCTTTTATAATCATAAAAGAGCATTTTGTAACCCTAAGAGCTCCACCTTCACTTAAAAATTGCATCCAGAACTGTCAAGAACGCCCAAAGAGATGAGATTCTTCATTAAACCTAGATCATGCCTAACATCAGTCAAAAGTCCTGGTGACTTCATCATGCATCTTAATCTGAATGGTCCATTTTCCAACAGTCTTACATGAGGTATTATTCCCCGTGAGAACAACTTCACCAATAATAGCATCAAATAGTGAACAAATCCCTATTATGACAAATGTGATAGGAACAATTAAAATCCAAAACTCAATCTTCTGTGCTCCTGGTTATATCATTTGTTAGCAATAAATTTACGTCTTTAAAAATAATAACTTTAGCAGAGTCCTCGCTTAGTTTCTCTTCATACTCTTCTTATTTCTTATTGCTCTTCAACATGTAACATCCGATCTTAATGTGTCCTTTCTTCTTGCAATATATGCACGTTATATTCTTATGCTGTAACTTATAGCTGTTACCTCCAAATCCTCGAACAAATAAGTCATCAGCTTTATGACCATTCTCGCTTATGGTTAACTCTTTTTCAATCTTTTCTTTATTCAATAAGTTTTGTTTGATGTCCTTGATGCCAATAGAATCTCGATGGTAGATTATAGTATTCCTAAAGTGCTTGTAGGAAGACAATAAAGAACACAATAATAATGGATATTGATATTCATCATTGATCTTAGTATCAATCTTACTTAAATTTATAATCATGAAATTAATTTCACTAATATGAGATTTGATGGGTGTACTTTGACATCTGAAATGTGTACTAGCATTGCTTTAAGAGGAGGCTATTAGTGAACGACTTCATCAAATGCAAATCTTTCAACTTAGATCATAGATCAGAGCTTGTCTTCTATGTGATTACTTATTACAAAACTTTATTTGTTAAATATAACTGGATCGTTGTGAGAGATTTATCATCCAACTCGTTCTAATCTTCCTCTGTCATGGTAGTTGATTTCTTCAACTTCCCAAACAAAATCTTCTTTAATCCACTCTACGTCAACACGGTAATCATTCTAACTTACTAAAGTCTTAAATTGATGTTGTCATAAAGCTTTTCAATAATCCACTTGGTAGTGGTTGTCATCATCTTCTAGTCTGATTGACATCGAGGGCTCTGATACTAATTTGTTATGACAAAATCCCTAGAAATAGATTAATAAT